TGAAATTTCTTTGTGAAAATGAATTGTATTGATTTTGAAGTTGGCCTGTAAATAGGCGTTTTTGTACAAGAGGCTGACATCCTGGTAAGAGAACTCCGCCGAACAATAGAGTTTATACAATTTATGAAAGACAAAGAAAAAACAGCTATGTGAACAATCCCACTGGGTTCCATCTCTGCTATTGCCTTTATATCCTCGAGCATCTCATCACTTTGCTACTTGGTTGAAGGTAGATCAGATTGTTTAGTGTCGTCCGATCTTGATAGTCGATACCAAAGTCTGGTTGCAAGATGATCCAATGAGACATAGTGTTACGCTTTAATCCCTAATTTTTTCCTGCACCTCCCTTTCGGGTTTTCAGTCCACCGGGATATCCTTTTTTTCCCAAGCCGCCTTTTCAGGTTTTCGGCTTGCCGGGTGTACAGATTTTTCACTTTCATCCCTTATTTTTATCCGAACCCTTTTGGTTCACCGGGAAGCCCTTATTTTTGCCTAGGCCAGTCGACCTAGTGGGTATTTGGTTACGCGTAGTATCTTTTTACTATATCTGCATTGACGGGGTGAGGAAGGTCGTCACCATCCATGGTGGTTAGAATCATAGCTCCTCCTGAGAAAGTGTTCTTAACCACAAATGGCCCTTCGTACGTAGGGGTCCATTTTCCCTGGGATCACCTTGCGGCAGTATGATACGCTTGATCACCAGATCCCCAACTTGATACTCTTGTCGTCTAACTTTCTTGTTAAATGCCTTGATCATCCGTTTTTGATACGTTTGACCATGACAAATAGCAGTAAGTCTCTTTTTGTTGATTAAGTTCAGTTGATCAAGTCGGATCCGGATCCAGTCGTCCTCGCTCAAACATGCATCCTTCATGATCCGAAGAGAGGGTATTTGGACCTCAATGGGTAAGACTGCCTCCATGCCATACACCAAAGAGTAGGGTGTTGCCCCTGTTGAAGTTTGTGCCGAGGTTCGGTATCCATGAAGATAAAATGGTAACATCTCGTGTCAATCTTTGTATGTCACCGTCATCTTCTACACAATCTTCTTAATGTTCTTATTAGCTGCTTTTATAACGCCATTCATCTTCGGCCAGTAAGGAGAAGAGTTGTGATGTTGTATCTTGAACTGCTTGCAGAGCTCGGTGATCATTGTATTATTGAGATTTGTACCGTTGTCCGTAATGATCCTCTCTGGTACACCGTATCGATAGATCAGGTTATGCCGAATAAACCGTGCCACGATGTTCTTGGTCACTGTAGCAAAGGAAGCTGCTTCAACCCATTTGGTAAAGTAATCAATTGCTACCAGGATGAAACGATGCCCGTTAGACGCGGTAGGTCTGATCCCGCCGATCATGTCGATGCCCCGCATTGTAAAGGGCCAAGGTGCCGTCAAGATGTTCAGAGGAACTGGAGGTATGTGCACCTTATCAGCATAGACTTGGCACTTATGACAGGTTCGAGAATGCTGATAACATCCGGCTTCCATGGTAGACCAATAATATCCTGCCCGTAGGATCTTCTTTCCCATGGTGTGTCCACTGGAATGAGTTCCAAAATTACCTTCATGTAACTCTACCATAATCCTTTCTGCCTCGTTTTTATCCACACATCGCAGTAAAGTTGAATCATGGTTACATTTGTAAAGAATACCATTGCTGATGAAGAACTTCGCAACGAACCTCCTTAGAAACTTCTTATCATTTACAGATGCACCCTCGGGGTACTCCTGAGCCTCAAGATACCTTTTTACCTCGTGAAACCAGGGTTTATCTGCTACCTCTTCAGTCTCAATGTCACAGCAATGTGCGGGTTCGTCCAACCTCTCAATGGTAATCTGGAGAGCCTCATTGTCCCACCTGACCTTGAACATAGAATACATAGTAGCTAGCGCGTCCGCCAACTGATTCTCCTTTCTGGGGAAGTGTTCAAAGGTTATCTCCTCAAAGTGCGGAAGCAACGTCAATGCATACTCTTTGTAAGGAATAAGATTTGGGTGCTTCGTATCCCACTCGCCTTTGATCTGACTGATCACGAGAGCAGAATCTCAGAACATACTTAAGAACATAATCCTTAGGTCAATAGCTTCTCGAAGACCCATGATACACGCTTCATACTCTGCCATATTGTTGGTGCAGTTAAAACATAATCGGGCGGTGAACGGAGTATGACAACCTTTAGGAGATATGATTACGGCGCCAATGCCATTACCTAATGCGTTTGAAGCTCCGTCAAAATACATAGACCATCGGGATCCTTCCTCAGGTCCTTCATCTGGTCCAGGTGTTTCACAGTCAGTCACCAACATGATGCTCTCATCCGGAAACTCGAAGTTCATAGACTGGTAATCATCCACGGCCTGATGAGCCAAATGATATGCTAACAAACTCCCTTTGATTGCCTTTTGGGTTGTGTATTGGATGTCATACTTAGTCAAGATCATCTGCCATCTTGCTATTCTTCCGTACAAGGCAGACTTTTCGAAGATATATTTGATTGGATCCATCTTTGATATCAATAGAGTAGTGTGAGTCAACATATACTGTCTCAGCCGGAGAGCAGCCCATGCCAAAGTGCAACAAGTTTTCTCAAGCAGTGAGTATCGGGTCTCACAGTCGATAAACTTTTTGCTAAGGTAGTAAATAACATGCTCTTTTCAGCCAGACTCGTCATGCTGCCCCAGCACACACCCCATCGAATTGTCGAGTACTGCCAAGTATAGTATCAGAGGTCTCCCTTTAACTGGAGGCATCAGAATAGGTGGCTCTTGGAGATATTCCTTGATCCTTTCGAAAGTGGCCTGACATTCATCGTTCCATCTTACCACTTGATCTTTCTTCAGTAACTTGAAGATTGGCTCACAAGTAGCGGTCAAATGCGAAATGAATCAGGCGATGTAGTTCAGACGTCCCAAAAAGCCTCTGACTTCTTTTTCTGTTCGGGGAGCTGGCATTTCCTGTATAGCCTTCACCTTTGCAGGATCCACTTGAATACCTTTATCGCTAACAACGAAACCCAGTAGCTTACCAGACCTTACCCCGAAGGTGCACTTGTTCCGGTTTAACCTCAGCTTGTATATCTTCAACCTATCAAATAGCTTCTGGAGGTGGTCAAGATGTTCCTCTTCAGTCTAGGATCTTGCAATCATGTCGTCAACGTATACCTCAATCTTATGATGAATCATGTCATGGAACAAAGCGACCATGGCGCGCTGATACGTTGCCCTAGCATTCTTCAATCCGAACGGCATGACTTTGTAGCAAAAGGTACCCCACTGCATAACAAAAGTTGTGTTTTCCATATCCTTGGGAGCCATCTTAATCTGATTGTAACCAGAGAAACCATCCATGAAGGATAAGACCTTATGTTGAGCGGTGTTATCGACCAAAACATTGATGTGAGGCAGCGGGAAATCATCCTTGGGGCTCGCCCTGTTCAGATCCCTATAGTCAACACACATTCGAACCTTACCATCTTTCTTCGGAACTGGAACCACGTTGGCCACCCATTGTGGGTAAGAAGTAACTGCTAGAAAGCCGATATCAAATTGTTTCATAACCTCGGCTTTGATCTTCTCAGACATCTCTGGGCGCATTCGGCGAACTTTCTGTTTCACTGGAGGACAGTCTTCTTTAGTTGGCAAGCGGTGAATCACAATATCGGTATCCAACCCAGACATATCTTCATAAGACTAGGCAAAGATCTCAACATAGTCGCGTAGCATCTGAATCAACCGTTGCTTAACACTAGACTCCAGATTTGCACCGATCTTAACCTCTTTCTTGTCCTCTTCTATACCAAAATTCACTAATTCTACCAGCTCTTCATAGGGCTGTATGGCCCTCTCTTCCTGTAGTAACAGTCTAGAAAGTTCCCCAGGCACTTCACAATCATCCTCACCTTCGTCTTCGACTTGGTTGATCGGACTTTCGAAGTCATAATTGGCAGTAGCAGAGTCGTTATCAGTGGGATCCACGGTGGATGCGGACCTGTATTATGATATGTGAGTGTGTGTAAGACAATAGCTGTTTTGCAAGATAGAAAAGAAAAAACAAGGAGCACAAAATTTGTAATGTAAGAAAACGTCCAATGCTTTATTGATGATATATGGAAATGACAAATATTAAGCCCTCACAAACAAAGCCACAGTGTCTCGGGCAAGGCATCGGGCTGTAAAGTTTCAAATTGTCTGTTACAAATTCAAAACAAAAGTCTATTACTGTGTAATAAAAGAAATGGGCATGAAGTCCTTTGCCGTCCAATTGCTTAATCCACCGTCGGTAGTCGGGTAAATCCAGTTGTCAAACTCAGACTCTTCATCATCATCTTCAATTGCATTCACTTTTGGATTACTGATATGCAGGGGAGGTCTTCCAATCCGCGCACGCCGAATAACCCTTTGAGCTTCTGCAGTAAAACCCAAACCAAACTTGTTAGTCTTGTGTGCAAAGTCAGGGAGTTGGCCCCAATTTGCACACCCACATTTTTCAATAATAGCCCGAGCATCCTTGAGGGAAGCCATCTTCATCGGAGGATCTTCAGCAACAGTTTCAGTCGACGCCAGAGTTTGGGGGACTTCTTCAAAGTTTTGACACGGGGTTTCAATGAACTCCCCATCCATCTCCACATACCGAAAAGAGTTAAGGTGGCTCACCATGTACTCCTATTCTCCTGTACTGTAACAATTTTTCCCTTCACTGGATATTTTAGCATCTGATGGAGCGTGGAAGTCACTGCCCCAGTGTAATACCCCAAATTTGTCCTACCCTTCATATCTGGCTTACGCATTTTTGCATTTTTTTCACATTAGGTCATCTAACACATCATGCATCATTAATCAATAAATTGGCATAAGATCATGGATTTCTAGGAATAAGGGTTGGTGTATGGCTTTAAGGCTCCCATCTTCGCACAAGCTTGTTTCGGTTGATTTCTCCATTAATAATCTGTTTGAAGCTAGGTTTTCATTTCATGGACCTTATCATCATCAAGCTACGATGCTATTCTTTTCTTCCCAATGTCAAGTTGCAAGGTTTTATGAGACGAAGCTAAAAATCAGGGTTTATACATTTTCATATTTGAGCTTGTCAGCATTCTACCTGAGGTTCATTCCATATCAAGGTATTCGCATGTCTCATCTTCCATATTCATCTGCAAAGAATTCCTCAGGGCATGGTCATTATCATCTATTGAGAAGGGGTCCAAGACGTCATTATTCTAGTGCTCATACAGTCGGGACATGGTACAAGATGTTGATTGTGATCAAGGTGTCATTATCTCAGATGCTTATTTGCTTGACACGCGAATTTGGTTTAGATTGGAAAAAGTGAATTGAATTAGGGATTCACTGAAGCTGTAGTTTGATTAGAATTCATTCATTAATATTTGAAGCGGATTTGGAGAAAATCAAAGTTCTTAAATATTTGCGTGGCTTTTCTTGGAATTCAAACCACAAGTATGAAAAAGCACGCAGCAAATTCATCCAACCATCAAAATATTATCCAAATAGCTTATCTTGGATTCATTCAAGATTCATGTCTATTTTGGTTACCTTGCAAATATTTTGGATTCATACCATTTATTTGAATTCATACAAAGGCCATTTCATTATGTGGAAATAAAGTTACCATACATTCCAATGTGTATTCAAATACATACAAGTCCAAATTCCATTACAATTATACATAACCTCCATACATTTTTACCAAAACCTATCCTAATTTTCAATCATTCTTCATTTTTCAAACTTCAAGCTTCCAAAACTTCATGTTATGCGTTTTTGTTCCAACTTCACATCATCTTGATATGAACCAAACCTGCAAAATATTGGATAAACTGTCATAAGCATGAACCGCATACACTACACTTCCATTTGCCAAAACCAATTCCCTAACCATTCTCTAAGGGCAGCCCTGCACATAAATTACTGCAACAGAAAACAACAAACTAACAGCTTCATAACTAACTTTTTCCTAACTTCTAACTATAACTAACTTTCCATTTCCCAAACCATAACTAACTTAACAAACCATAAACAGCATAAATAACAACAACCAAAACTGATATAACAAAAAAAAATGCATCTTAACTTCCAAAACAGAATTTCTGTTAACCACTCTCAAACCTTCTAACCACTTCTAACTGAATAATTAACTACCTCCTAACCACTTAACCAACTTCTAACTAACTTTCACCATCACCTTTGATCAATAACCAACTCTAACAAACTTTCAGCATATATATAAATAGAGTTCACAGCATATGCATAGGGGAGATCACAAATAGAAAAGGGGGGGCAGAGGGATTTCAGTTTATATATTATTCTTTATTTTACAAACACAGAAAAAAGGGGAAATTATTACCTCTCAAATCATCTCATTCTTCAATATGAAGAATCACCACCAAAACTCTCTCTGAAATTCCCCAAATTGCATCTTCTCTCATCTCAATGAACTAAACCTCTCTGCACAGAACAGAACCTTCACGCATCAAGATCAACGCTTCATTCTGCATCTTTTCATTATCTTCACACTCTTCATCAACGCAATCAACAACAACTTTAACTTGTACCATTCTCTTCACATCACACAGTCTTTAACAACATCGCAACAACAACAAGCTCAAAAAACGTACAGAAGCGAAGAAGATAAGAAGAAGAAAACAGAATAAAACGAAAGCGAGACGAAATATAAACATGAACAATCCTGAGTAGCAGATGGAATAAGCGCTGGACATTCTCCGGCAGAGGCGCAGTGATGAAGCGAGAGTAAGACAGAGATACGAAGGTGGTGAGCGTGCGGCGGGAGAGGACGGAATCGTGATGAAGCAAGAGAGAAGAGATGAGAGACGGAAAGGCGGCGATGAAGACGGAACGACGGCGACGAAGAGTCGAACAGAGAGCTGAGTAGTTGCTAGACGGAAATCGCCGGAGCGGAAGAAGAAGACGGCGGCAGAAAGGGAAGACCGGCGGCGCCGCGTTCGTGAAGGAGAGGAAGAGACATTTTTCTAACCCTAAATTCCCTTTCTAATTTCATATGCCCTTTTTTTCTTTCCATTTAGTTTAATTCTTTTGTTACTTTATATTTTATTTTAAATCAATAATAATGCTAGTAATAGTAAATGAATTAAAAAAATCTGAGGGCTATTGGTTTGGGCTTATGATCTTTGGACCTCTATTCACACCGCTGTTTAATCCAGAACACCTCCCAACTTTCTTTATTTTCTTTACTCTGTTCTTTAAATTTCGCAATTAATTCTGTGAGTTTCTTGCATGATTTTTTTGTTGAATTTTTTTTTATGAACATTAACATGTTTATTTCTGATTAGATGATATTTTTCTTGATTTTTTCTATAAGTTTTAGGATTAATTGAATTAATGTTGAAAATGGTTAGAATTATTTTTTTTAGGTGCTCTTGTCAATTCCTTATCCATGATTCAATTTCTTTGGCACGATGAGTGGTTTAATGGCTGGTTCTGAATATTAGGTTCTTGATTAATTGTTTGCTTTTGCTTAAACTTATAAAAAGTATCATAAACTTGATAGGAATAGGCCTTATGTGTCGTTGAATGTTCACGGGATTTGCAAGTTTTGTGGTAGAATGTTAATGCAACTTTTAGGATACGAAATTCTTGAGGATTAGTTTGTGCGAAGCTTCGGTAGAGTTTTCTTACCGCTCGCACAATTTTGAAGAGGCAACGGACCTTCTCCGTTCGGTATCGTCACAAATCTATTTTATTCTTCATTTCCGTACTTTATCGCAAATCCATATGCATACTAACATCAGGTAGAAATTTCCCCTTTAACCTAAATCTTATGGCTACTAACGCATAATAACGTTAGGTTTAGAAGTAAGCTAGTCTCCTTCTGACTTTTCTTTCTCCTTTTGCATTCGCACCTAAAACAAAAACTTCTTTTTCTTTCAAAATTCAAAATACTTTAAAACTATTGATGAGAATCATGCTTTTGCTTAGTACGAGAAATGATAAGCGGGTCTCTTCTCGATCTTATTGTTCTTCATCTCAAGCTTAGGTGTGGTTCAATTCTCAAAAACTCCTTTCATGACTAAGTAGAAAAATGGCTAATATCTCTCCCTTGAGGTCAAGCAGTCATCATCTACAACAAAATACAAAACAAAATCAAATCTTTTGTGCGCTCGAGCACATTTTCTTTTAAAACCTTTTCAGGTAAGGACACGATTAATCTACTTCTGTGCCAACGCATAAGTCTCCAAAGGTCGAGCTGCGGCAGAAGGCGGAATTAACTTCGTCCATAAAAAACACAAACAAACAAAAAAATGTGAGCCGAACTACGGTAGCTCAGATTCCTCAAAAAGGATACGTAGGCATTGGGGTAGGGCCCAGGCGAGCACAATTTTATTTTCCCTACATTCTTTTCTCCTTTATTTTGCATGCATTTTCCCTTTAGCAGTATAGTAGACAATGAGCATAGATTAAACACACCCATAAGATAGATAATAAGAGTGGATACCGTAGAGTACTACGGGCGTGTGGGGTGCGAATACCTTCCCCTCACGTAACAGACTCCCTTACCCGATCTCTCGGTCACAAGACCGTGACTTCTCCCTTCCTCAGGTTTTCTCGATGTTTACCTTTCCCTACATGTGGATAAAAGACGTTCGATGGCGACTTCATTGTTTGATGATTCTCAGCCGGTTGTTTCAGCTGGCGACTTCACTGGGGAATAGGTCGACCAAATGCTGGTCCATCCCGGAGTCGTTCCTAGCTCTTGTTTTCTTTCCTTAGGGTGTTTATTTTTATGCTTTCAGTTTACTCATTTGTACATGTCTGCATTGCATTTTATGGCTTTCCATATCTGTTATCTATTATGCTGGACTCTATTCTCTATGTTGGGTGGGGATGTCACTTTTGAGGTAAAAGGCCCAATACCCAGGCCAGAGTGCACTAGGATACCTAGGAATAGAGTGGGGGCATGACGGCTATAGGACGTGGTCCAATTAGTGCAGTCATGTCATATACCACGCTCGGATGAGGTTCAAATGAATTACTATCGGCACCCACGTCTGTGGGCAAGCCCATAGCACTTTCAGGCGAACCCGTGATTTTCGAGTTACCATTATCTTACCCTGACCTAGTTTTCACCCGTGAGTGGGAAGGGAATTTTTGTCACAGGTACAAATGGTGACTGTGTTCAGATGGTTATTCAAGTACAAATGGTGACTATGCTCAAACAGTGGCTATTGGTTCTGATGGCTATACTCTGGATTTCTGTTAAGACTTAGCAGATGCTATATCCTGTTGGTGATCGTACGGTTCTCAAATTTATTTTCTGAGTTCCTGTCTTGTTTACCTGGAGGTTCATTCAAGCCTTCAATCTTGGTATTCCCAGCATGTTCAGAAATTCTCAACAGTATCCGATGTTCCAGAAGCCTTGATCCCGTACAATGGGAGATCCATAGGGTACTTGGTTCTTATATATGCAGAAGTTATGTCGGACCTCTAATCTGATGATACTCACATGATCCAGAGCAGTGCAACAACCTTATTCCGGAATGATGGAATCTTGATCCTCTTTGATCTCATGCCTTTACATACATGACATGGCTGACTGCATGCTTAACATACATGTTCTATTATTTTCAAGGAATCATATTTGCAAGTCTTGTGCCAAAACTCTTCCATCCCTTACTTGCGCAAAAACAAAATCAAAGCACGCAAATTCCTTGGAAATGACAAAACATGACATGGCATTCATTCATACACTCCATGTATATTCATGCATTCATTACAGGTATCAGAATATTGGGGATTCTTATTCAGACCTGGGGTTCTCTTCAAAGGTTCAACCTGATTTCTCTCCACACATGCTCAGAGATCAGTGATGGAATAACTCTGAGTGGTACATGCAAGCTTTGGCTCATAATCAGAAACTTCTTCAAGCAGGAAGATAATGGATTAAAGAGTCAGATAAGCCAGTTCATGGAAACTCTGATAATGATGTCTATTATTTCTTTGAGACATGATGTGCTTGGTGATGCATATTATACTGGGGCACCTGGCCAATCGATTGAAGATGGTATGTCATCCAGAGACCAAGTCCAAGACTGGATCAATTCAGAGACTGTCATGCTCACATCAGATCTGAAAGGGGATTCTCTCGCACACTCGAGCTTCAAGACTACAGAAAGTCGTCAAGATCAGCAAGTTCATACGGAGTTAAGTCTCCTCAACAGTGGCAATCATTGGTTTCTTTAATGCATTTTCATTTGCATTCTTGCTTGTTTGATCAAACATTGCTTGTATATAGAAACTTGTCTATTTTTGAATGAAAATCTTAATACAATAGGTATGCTTGTCTTGAAGTGTTCCTTTCATTTTTACTCATCCATTCTTTATCACCCTTTAAATGTTTTGCTTGCATATTGATGCCAGATTTCTAAGTCTTATGCTTAGGTAAAGATTCAAAGGAGGATGACGACGATCTGAAAACGCAAAATCTCTGGTTGGTATGCTTTTGAGTAAAATCCTGCTGACGATGTACAGGCCTTGTTTCAATCCCCAAACACCGGAGATATAAGGGAGATAGACCCTCGTCAACCCCTCTGAGCCTTCGAAGTAGGAGTTTCCTTTCTGTTCATAAAAAACCCTCATTTTAACCTTGGGGCGGGTAGTGTTCAGCTAATCTGTTCAAGCATTCAGAACTCATCAAGAGTGTGCATCCAAGGATACGACAATGGTTATCCATCAAAAGATTGATAAAATTCGAAACCACAATGGTTCACCCTCATCTATCAGTAACGTGCATCTATCTAACAATATCCCAATGGGTATCCCTCGCACATCAGGAGGTCGACAGATGACGATTCCAACAATGGATATCCATCATTTGCCAAAGACTCAGGCAGTCACGATCACTTCCGACGAATCAAAAACAACTCAAAGATCAACAACTTGTTCAAAATGAAAAAATACGAATAAGAAAGAAACAAAAATCCCCGCTAAGTCGAAGCTTGAAAACAAGTCGCTTAGGCAAAAATTGGGGCATCCCGCTGGACTTCCAAATCAAAATTCGAAAGAATTTGTCCAGGCAAAAATTAGGGAAAGCAAGAAAGAAATTGAAAAGCCTAAAAGGCGAGAAAAGGATTACCAACGAAAATCCTCATCAAAGAACAAAGTCGTCTGATCAGACACCAAAATCAGAAGTTAGTGACTGTCGTGTCCAAGAAACCACTGTGGTTCCTCAATTATTGCAAACTCTTCTCGAGAGATGAACACTTATATCAGGTCAACTGAACGTAGGAATGGAGAACATCATGGAGAAGGGGTGGGCACCAAATAATTTTGAGCCTAAAATCTTTTTTTCTAAAAACCGTGAACCAGGCCACGTTACAACCCATAAAAGTCCTAATTGAAGCATGGGTCAATTCGAAAGCGTGCTACAATGAGATAGCGTTTAACTGACTCCTAAGAGGTACGTCTCAATATCTGTTTTGGCATCATATGCTTGCATTATCTTTCATAAAAAAAATTTGCAAATGTTTCTCTCTAGCTAGTGACTCGTTCACGACAGAGTTGTGACGTCATTTCATTCAAAGTTTTTCAAACTTCAAGACTTACATATGTGTTGTATTAGAATTATCATTCTCATAATAAACATTTTTCTGCATACAAAACAACTGATCAACATCAAGTAAGTTTGCATAATGAACAACCGGTAAAGAGCTCAATCTTGTCAGAGAAGAGAGGCTTGAATACCCTGTTGAAGCAAGAGTCAGCTGCTACAAGAGAAATGACTAATCCAGAGGCATGTTAAACCATAGATTCTGTCAAGAGAAATCATCTTGGTGCTTCACAGCTTGAGTACCCTTCAGGGATAAAGTTAGCAGATTCCATCAATCTGGGGCATTCCCTTAAAACTTCCAATC